ACAAGCAGCAGAAAATTACACTGGTTGCCACTCGAACACCGGACTCCTGGCAAATCGTTTTCAAACCCACTGCCATCTTTCGCTACTCAGGTTAAATATATATAAGTCACTTAGATAACTTCAAAATGTTATTGTTTGGCTTTTTTAGTATTTTATTTGTTCCTGAGTAAATTGGTTTGGCTGAGAGAAGTTATAGTTTTTACACAGCTGAATAAACCTCAAGAAGACAACTGATTATCAGAAGTGTGAGATGCTCAAGAATATACTCCGGTGCCCCGTTATATTTTAGATAGCAAGGAGTTTATTAAACTTCACCGAAACAATCTGCAAATTTAATTAAAATTTAATAAACTATCATCTTGCCTTTATTTTTAGTGAGCACATACCTTAAACACTTAAAGCTGTAAGCTAATGATAGTTATATAAGAGCAGATGCATGCTGGTGCAATAAGCTGTATGTTTTACGTCCAATGGATGCATGATCTGATTAGTCGACTAATCGCAAAAATAATAGGTGACTAGTCGACTACCAAAATAATCGTTTGTGGCAGCCCTATTCTGAAGGCAAACGGGTTCCAACCAAGTACTAGCAAAGCATATACCTAAGTGTTTGGTGAGTGTATATTTATGTTTGCTCATGCATATTTTTCATGGTTCCTACCTCATCGGTATACTCTCGGGGAAGAGGTGCACCTGCAGATACCTAAAACCGTACAAACAGACCAACAAATTAGACACTTCAGCATCACAGGTTTTGCCCATATGGGAGATAAACAAGAAATCAACCGTTCTAATTCTTAATATTTTCACTAGCAAGTCTATAAACACAGTTAGTAATTTGGAAGATTAATTTCAGCAAACAGGATGGAGACTAATGAATACCAAGAAACCGAAATAACCCTATGAGATAGTAAGCTCATTAAATTCAATTGAGTTACAGCTCAGTACAGGATAGCAGGGCCTTTCATGACCATTAAGAGCATTTTACTGTTGGAGTTTGTCTATCTCATGCTGCGCTAGATTTTCAGAGACATTTAAGTGAGTGGTTCTTTAATTCATCCACACCAGAGAAGAATTTATGGCTAGGCTATACTGTGTTATTACAACAGCGCTGTGTTGACCTACATTTGGGCCGCCGCCGTGCATCTTTAGCGCTCGAACGGTTGCGACCAGCACCACCACACTGGGCCTCAAACCTGAGGCTCGACATTTGATGTTGAAGAATTTCTCCATCCCAATGTCAGCTCCGAAACCTGCCTCGGTCACTGTGAGGAAACAGGTACAAAACATAAACATGTCTACCAGTGAATTATTGAATTACATATTAAAATTTATGGTCAGCAAATAAAGAATGTGAGCAGACTGCGATTCAGCCGTGTTAGAAGCTGGAGCAGCGGCGCTGGACACAGGCATTAACGTATCATCTTGCTTGAAATAACTCATCTTCCACCTTCAAGCCATGTTTGACCCAATTTGACCTCACAGCACCACATGTGAGCTCGATTACACGCCTGGAAGAGACATGGGAACGGTTTCTGAACAGTAGTACTGAGTAATGGGTACATTGTAGGGGCTCTGAAAAAGACAGAGGGCCTCTGATAGAGACAGCTCTACGCACAGGCCTCTTGAACAGGCTCCAAACAAAGCAAATACCCCACCTGAAATGGCAGCCTTGTTAAGATAAGGTTTCCTGCAACATGCTGGCTAGTTTTACACATTTTACAGTAAAACTAAAGTTTATTTCCCATCAAAAGTGTTTAGGCAGGTTTTAATCACTTTGGGCTGTTTGTTTAGTCTGCTCAGATGCCGTTATTCTTCCCCTTCAGTACTTGGAAGGGAAGAATTCACTGCACGTCTGTTTCCTTGTGATCTCTGAAGCTTTTGGTTTGTGCTAAAGATTATGATATTCAGATGGGTCATGAAGAATCAGCACCGTTTGCAGGCTTGACTGCACAACGCGCTGAAAGTTGACTACATTATTACTGCAAATATTTTAGCTTTTATTCAAGAGGACAGTGCAGAGTGTGTGCAGGAAGAAAGGGAGAAAGTAAGGGAGGAATGACATGCAAGAGTCAGATGGTTTAGAGTGGCCTTCAGTCACCAGGCTCGACCAGGTGAGCTATAGTGGCATTGCCCCAACACTTTTACTGCTACTAGTAAAGACTAACGGCTTTGCTGTTTGGTTAAATGCTTTGCCTTTGTTCCAACACATATTTTACGAGAAATCTTCCAGTAAAACATTTTATCTAAATCTAAAAGCCAAACAGAATAAATGCACCGTAACGTGCATGGAGTCCAGTTTGTAGTTTAACGCTTCACGAACTCTTTGTGACCACGAGAAGAGAGATTAAGCCTTCAAATGCAGCATGATTTTCTGTCAGTCAAATTAATAAAGTTTGTTTTGAATGTCTCCCACAGGTCCCGATAATATAGAGGACTTTGTCAATGTGACATAATGTTAACAAGTTGTGGTCCATTAGTAGCAGCTGGCCCTCGCAATATTAGTGTAAAATGTTTTTTTTTTAAAGGACCCAGTCTAAACCAGCTGATCTCAGAAAACATTTATCAAAGTAATGATAATTTAAGTATTATTAAAGGATAAAAACAACATCTCAGTGATTAAAGCAAGGAAAAACTCTAATTAAGCCCAAAAGTAAATTTTTACAAATTTAAGACTGATGAAAATCACAAAACACAGAAAACTCAGTCAGAAAACCCCCCACAGAATTTAGCTGAAATACAATCTTTGAATGGTACTGGAATCTACAAGGAGTACTGTCCCATGACAACCAAATATTACTAAGGAAAAAAGACCAAGGCGCAGATTTGTTTTAACAGCTAAGGGTAATTATCTATATTACAGTTTTGTTATTCTAATAAAAAACAACTAACTTTTGTAATTGCCGAACCAACTGGGTGTGCAGGTCAGGACATTATTGACTAAAAACAATCACAGGGTTTAAGAGCCAAAAAAGGGATTGTTGTGAGAGAAAAGGTCACCACATGACCAAATACAGGGCAAATCGCTCACTATGGGTATTCATGAAAAATAACATTAACAGGAGGAGTTTGCTGTTATTTTCCCATTTTTTGGGGAGTTTTTTTGGAGTTAACATTTTTTTTTAATTTATTTTGTTTTAAAAGAACCAATACGCAACCCATAAACTTAATAATCTGCAGACCCCGCTTCCCTTCTTGCTCAAACTGACCCATCCTGGATAACCTCTTTCTTCCAGTGGTGTAACATCTGTGCTCGTTTTATTAAAAAATTAAAAAAAAAAAACCCAAATGGGACTCAGATGCAAACCAGGAAAAACAAATAAAATGTTTGTGTCATTCTGATCAGTTTTACGTCTCATACAAGTTTTTGTGCGTAGGACTCTGTGCGCAGACTTGAGCTCCACAGAGACGGGCTTTGACCAGTTCCACTTCTGAAGGTAGACAGTAATGGGTTTGCAAATTGAAAAGGGAACGAGGGGAGAGGGCTTGGATCTATTTCCACTTGGAAGGAAGCATCACTGCAAATCAAATCTGAGTGGTCTCCTTCATTCTAAGATAAATCATTCCTATCCTGATGAGAGCTGCCTCCTCCAAGAGGAGTCACTGAAGTGAAGTGAATCATAAACCTTCAACGCCTCTTTCCATCGCCGTTATTAAAAAACTAAATGATGGAATAACTTTTGGAAGATTTGAACTTTTGGAAGGCTTTTATAATTCATAAAAAAATAAAGCAGGCTTTTGTACATTCTACATTTATCACATGTAATGTCTAATATGTCAAGTCTTTTTCTTGGTTCAACTTTGAAGACTTAAAGTTTATGACGGCAAAATAATGAATCCTCACTAAATTTTATGAGCTAAACTGTGTTTAATCCAAAAAGAAATTTGCTGAAAACATTTATTGACACGCCTTTGGAAACATGAGAGTACTTTAGCTTGGTAGTACTTGTGTCTGACATTTGATGAAATCAATCTCTCTGAGGCTTTAGAGAAAAAAAAACAAGTGTTTGCGAAAAGAAATGCATCACTCTGCTTTGTTTGTCTTCGTTTAATGCTAGTCACGGTGTGATTTATTTCACAAGACGCGAGCGTAAATTTACTTCAAAGAGGGAAGGCGAGAGGAGGAGAGAAAGAGGATGGAAATACGTGAGGAATGAAATTAAATCAGAAAGTTGAGAAAGTCTTTGGGAGAGCAGAAGAACTAAGTCTAACAGGACTTAGTTTCTTGGAATACCAACAACAACATTTAGCAGAAACTGTGACTTGGGGGGGGCTTGGCTGCACCGCCTGCATCTTGAAAAGTCTATCTGCTCAAAGAGGAAAAAAAATAAAGCCTGCGGGAGGAGTGCAAAAATGTAACTCGGCTTTCTTTTGGCCAAATAGCGCTCAGTGCAATGTTTCTCATTAGCACCACACTAGAGCTTTGGCTCTGAATACAAAAACAGCTTGCCAACAAAAATCTGATTCTTAGGTACAGTATTTGTGGAATTCCACAAACTTTATGACAAAAAGCGAGCACACGAGTACTCACACGACACGACGCAGCATATTGAGAGGTGAAAGAAAGCAAACAGAAAAGACAGTTTCCCCTCGACGGCATTGCATCAAGCGGGAAAGTGACCCCGGAGGATGTCCTAAGGAAACACTTGCAAGCTTCCTGTTCTGCATGACAACCCTGAACTGCCCAGAGACCGAGAGGGAAGGAAGAGGTCGATGATGTTGTGAGCAGAGTCAGAGAGAAGGAGAGAGAGAAAGATCGGTGTGGTGGAACTAGATGTCAAAGCATTGGTATCAGCACAGCTGCCAATAAAAACACAAACACTGCAGAGCAGGCTGCACGACCATCTATGTGCTGTTAGTTTTCCACAATAAGACTTAAAAGTAAAAAGTACTACTACTTTAATCAAATGTCAGAACACATGCCTGTCATTATTTGCCTTAAGGCTCTTTAATTTAACTTCTTTAATTTTTGTGTAATGAACAAACAAACTGAGAAAAGCTAAATCAGCGAATCCTATAACATTTCTAACTAAATGTTCAAGTGATCATAAAAGAAAAAAGTGATTTATCTCTCATCCATCTGCATTTGCTCATCCCAAAAGGTGGTGTACACCCTGGACTATTGGCCAGTGGTCTATTTGCTGGGTGACCACCATTCATGCTCACATTACCTCCTAGAGCAGCGGTCCCCAAACCCCCGGGCCACAGACTGGTTTGATACCGGGCTGCGAGAGTTGAGGGTTTTTAAATCGGTTTTTATCGTTAACTCGGTTTCCCTGGGCCTTTTCCCGTGTGTTACAAATAAATCTTCCTTTTTTTGGTACTGGTTTTATTTTGTTGTATTTTTCCGCAACACCTTAAACGCCGGTCCGTGAAAATATTGTCGGAGATAAACCAGCATACATAAACCAAAAGGTTCGGGACCGCTGTCCTAGAGCCAATTTAGAATCAGCAGCTAAGCTAAAAAACAGCCTTCAGAAGTCAGAGAACTTGGGGAGACCCACAAAGGTACAGGGATGACGATAACCTTTTATTTTGGACATATAAACAAACAAAATCTTTATGACGTGACAAAAAGCAACTTAATTGTCAAGTGCTAAATGAAGTAGAAAGAAGTATGTACATACTTATTGAACCCAACCCTGTGCTCAACCAAACGCCACACCCAATTGCTCCAGCTAGCCAGTGGAGTTGGACCCAGGTCCTCAGCCACCGCATCTGACATCTCATTCAAAGAATTACTTACAACTTATTTCTAAGATCATATTTTAATACAATGTGAGGGTGTATTTACCCTGCATTTGAAGCTAAACTAAAGAAAAATTAACAACCAATTGGGCTAAAATTCTATAATGTAACTGAGTTTTCTTTTAAATTTAATTCACTTAATTGTTCAAACATAATTTTCAAGCAACTGCTTGTCTATGTAGGTGATAAAAAAAAATTAGAACTGTGACTCCAACATGACTGCAAATCTTTAAACGCTAGAACTTTTTTTTCACGTTTTCTAATGTGATCTTTTAAGCCTTATAAATATAAGTAAGTATCGCGGGGTTATCTGCGTTCAGGACTCCAGACGGTTAATGGTACAGGAGACGCACACATCTGGCATGTGGAATTCATCTCCCGACAGCCGCCCCTCCCCGCAAAAGCAGCATTTCTTCATGTTAAGTCCAGATTCCAGAGTGACTTGAAAAACACCACAATAATATTAAGAATGATGAAGCAGGGCTATGAGTGAGCATTAGTGCCGGACCCCCCCGGAGTTCACAAAGAGTTCATGGCACAACAACAACTTTCACTCACCAAAGAGGGTCCCAGCAATTAACAAAACTTGGGCGTGTTTACTGTACATGAGTGCCAGACGTAATTTCTTCACTCTAATTGTCCTTTAAAAAAAACTTTAGCCTAATTTTTTGCAGTTTTGGTCATTAGTCATAATAGCAATAATAGTAATAATAACTTTTCAGAGCCTAAATATTTAACAGGATCCTGCAAACATTTCAAAATATGTGTACTGTCTATTTCTCTTGTTAAACCATTACAGTAACACAAAAACTAACAAGTAGTTGGCTCCTCTATTTCTGACAAAACTCTCTTTTATACAAGGCAATGTGATTTCCTACAAGAGTAGGGAATTCTAGCTTTAATACAGTGAGTGTATATTGCTTTTAGACACCTTAGTCTGCATTTACAGCACCAGGATGATGTGTGGTGACACAATGAAGGAAAACTTCATGTGTTGGCTCGCAGATGTCTTTTTTCAATAGGTTTGGAGTTTCAAGGTGAAAAGGAATAAGACATCAGGATGATGCCAAATCCTATATTCCTTCTGTTTTCATCTTTGACCTACCATACCGTGTTATTTAAACAGTTTTCTGAGAAATATGGAATTATCAACATCATCACAGTTTTACATGGTAAATGGTAAAATGGTAAATGGCCTGCATTTGTATAGCGCTTTTCTAGTCCTTAAGGACCCCAAAGCGCTTCACACTACATTCAGTCATTCACCCATTCACACACTGGCGATGGCAAGCTACATTGTAGCCACAGCTGCCCTGGGGCGCACTGACAGAGGCCACCTATTTACCACCTATCTGATCATCTGAAAACGGGTTTACTCTCCTGCTGGGCTTCACTGCACAAGATTGTACAAAGAAATGACTTGCTGTACCACATTGCATCTGCAAAAATGTTCTTGTTTTTTCAGTGTTCCTGTTTGTTTGTAGATGGGACGAACGAGAGGAGGGCGCACGCGTCCCAGCTGCCAGGTGGGGGGTTCCCAGCATACCTGAGAGTCAGGTAACGAATATGCGGAAAGGGAAGGGAGACAGGGAACAAGACATACAGATGGTAACTAAGTGGGATGGAGAGAGGTGGAGGTTTCAAACAAATACAAGTCTCCCTGCTTTTGCTTGGACAAACGCTGGTTTTGCCCAAGCAGTCAACCTTTTTTTTTTTCCCCTTTTATACCCGTTATAGCTTTGATGGCTAAAGTATCTGTCGCCTAAACGTGAACGTACGCCTTAAGGAGATCTGCATGTACGCCGAATGCACCTGGCAAAACCACAGACACACACATGCATTCCAGACATATTCCTGCAGCCAAAGTAAATGAAGACGGAGAGAGCAGCGGGACAGATAGGCCGATAAAAATGGAAATGCTGCAGTGTGCTTTGACGTTGAAGGGATTAGTGTGGTTTACTCTAAAGCATTCCAAGGGCTCTTAAGATTATCAACTTGCTTCCTTCCTCTGCGCTGATATTTTTTCTTTCGACTAGCTTCTTAGAAAGTTATGGAGGAACAGCACCAGAGCAGAATACTAGTCCACCAGAGGCAGGCAGAACAGATCCAGAACCAGGCTGATAATGAGTTTATGCTAAAGCCTTCAGCGGCAGGGGATCACGCTGAAGTTCATGGCTGGAATAAATTATAAGTTATAAATTTGTTTGTTCTGCTAACGAAGCTTAAGCCTTCAGTTCAAACACATCTGGGACTCCTAGATCCGACAGCTGAGATCTTCTTGTCTGTCATCCCCAAAGGTTTTGTGGTTGTGTGGTGTGTGTGTGTGTGATCTGTATGCATGGGCTGCATGCTCTTACCCACAAAGCCGTCCTGTCCGACCAACTTCAAAGCCAGCTTGTCTGCCAGCACCGAGGAGTTGCCATGGGCGATGTTGGCGAAGGGCCCAGCGTGGACAAACACCGGCGTACCCTACAACAATTAAGAGGGGTGCACAAACATATGGGAGGAGTTGAGAAAACTTTGCAACCCATGGCAACCAAGTTTAAATACTAACTAACCACTTCTTTCATAGAAAATTCAACATCTTTTAACCCCGGCTGCCAGGATAAATGATGACATGCTGATGTGGGGTTTGTCTAAACAGTGGGCAGAAGTTAAGAGGCCCTTCACAGGCTTGCCAGCCTGAATATGAGCCAGGCTTGTGTTGCTTGTTGATTTGGACTGCTTTGGAAAGGCTAGAAACGCACCCACACGAACTAAAGGAGCACTTCAAGGCCTCAAATCTGGCAGTGCAGCTGTGCAAAGTTCAGATTTGCAGCGATTAGCCTTACAAAGACACAAAGGAAACACTGAGTCAGTAAGAAATACAACAAAAATCACTCTTTTCTGTTGCTCTATTAAGTCACCCTGCACAGGTTTGCTATAGGTAAGATTGGCTGATGTCATTTAAATACCTAGCAAAGATTTTGATGATCAATTCATCTTTAAGGAGATGGCATATTCCACTGTTCGGATGCATCCTTGACTTGAATACCTGGTCTACAAGAGGGACTGTGCCCTACTGGACCAGAAACCGATGGTTCTCAAAAGGTTTCTGCCTGGCTGTGTCTGAATCAAGTTAACAAGCCAGCATCTAGAGTTGGACAACCATGATTCAGCTCTCCACCACCACAGAATAAATGCTACACCATAAGACCCCAACGACGAAAACCATAAGCAGATGTGCTCGATTTGCACTGTTTTTATTTTATTTTTTTTACAAACAAAACTGATTTTCCACAGTAGCATTCAATCAGAAGTGGCCTGAATGTGAGTTTGTTGTGCTGTTGCACATTTTTCACATTTGTAGATTAAAAAAAATATGCATTTTGTTGTTCGATATAATACTTTCCTTTGATAGAATGAAAACCAGCAATGGTCACTGGCATACTACTAGAAATAAACTCTATCCAATGCCCTGGATCATTTTTGTTATTAAGTTAATTATAATTTGGCCCTTTATTTGATTTTTTTCAACTGTATTATCTACTGTACTTGAATTGCATGACATTTCATACTTTTACCATTGAGTGACATCTCAACCATTTGGTAGAGATCAATATTTTAAAAACTCCAGGGTCTATTGAAAAAAAAAAAGTATTGATTGTGGTGATTACTCACCCAAGTCAATAAGAAATGCAAACAAAACTTTTTTCCATTGCTTTTTTCTTGATGTGGACCTCAAAGAGTTAACACTGACACATATTCTAATAGGTGTAACTGAATATCATTGGCTTTTTTTAAGTGTAAAGAATTGTTACTGTCATGTTTCCACTATTTTTCAACATTTCTTGGACTAAATCACTCATTAAATACAGTAAAGGAATAACTAATGACTTTTTATTTTGCTGCCTCCCAGTTAAAGTTACTTCAAATGCACAGACGCACAGCTGGTGTACTTTACAAGCAGCAGATGTATCCTCTCGGAATAATTCAGATCTGTTTTGTGGAGTGCAGCCTGCTTGCAAGAAAGGCATGAAAGAATACGGCTGCCAAGGAAAGGCCCACTCATCGAGATCAAAATCCTTCTGCCGCACTCTAGACAGGCTCTTAAAAAAAGGTCATTACTTAGAAAGAAAACTAGGGAAGCTCAGCTGACCCATTGTTACACTGAATATGAATTCCTTAAGAGAGAGGAAAAGGGAAGGATGGGAAGGCCTAGTCTGATTTTCAAGGCTTTTGTTTGCATAGCTCTCCCTCACCCAGCATAAACAGCCTCCCCTCAGAGGAGTAAATCATTTCTTTAACAAGGTCACGAGCGAAGCTGCCACTAGCAGCATTTACTGAATGAAAGAAAAAAAGAGTATGCATAGTTAAGAATGAAAAGTAAGGGGGAAGATGACAAAACGCAGACCGTGAGATGAAGAGAAATTGCATTTTAGTACCATTACCTAGCCAAAAACATCACATCCATTTCTGTGTTTTATTGGAAGGACATGGATGTCAAACATTACACGGATTTCCATCTGTGTTTGCAAACTTTGAGGTTTAACTTGACCCAGTGCAAAATTTTCACTCTTTCCACATCTGTCCACGAGGAAACAACAATGGAATGAAAGTGGAAATCAATGAAAATCCATTGTGTCACCTTTCCATCTGCTGAACGCAAGGATTAGGAACATTCGGAAAAGGGAGACGAATAAAAACAGGAAACCGGAGATCATGTTAATATTTCCGGGTGTCGCGCATCACTTGGCCAATTTTATATGTCAACTGCAGAGCAGGGCTAAAGTGACAAAGTATCCGAAATGTATTCTGACACAGCACAAGGGCTCAAACTGCTCCGCATTTCCACACAACCCTTGCCCTCTATCCTATAGTCTACTTCCTCTCCCCCAGAAAAGATGCATACTGTGAACCTCCACGTAGACAGGACGTTTGGAAAACTCACACAACAACTGAAGTCTGCTTAACAGACACGTACACAGGGAGAAAAAACTATCCCCTTTCTTCTTGTGATCCAAATTGTGTCCCGTCTAAAAACGACACAGAAATGCAAGCTCAGCGCCAGCGTTCGTATGCCAGCTCTATTCTCAGGAGTGCATCTGCATTCACAGCCGTGACGAGCCAAAAGGGCACAAAGGGCAAAGGCGGTCAAGCTCGGCGGAAAATTCTCATGGAGCTCTGAGGCCCGCTTGGTCCCGATACCAGTTCCCTGACCAGAATCGCAGGAAACCCACACAGGAAACAGTTTCACACAACAGGACCGCAACGCTTCCTCCCAAAAACAAAAAGTAACCAAATCTCTGCTTCGTACAACACAACCCTCACCGCACCCTTGAAAACACAGAATCCGGGACAGTCGATGTTTATTTTCTCCACCCAGCAGCCATATAATCAAGCTTTCTGCTCAAAAACCAACAAGGAACAAACAAACGAGAAACAGCCATCACGTCAAAACGAGAAACAAAAAGTCGTTATCACAAGCATGACTGCTAACATTGTGTTCACTGTAAACTTTAATTACTTAAACCAAATGGGCAGAAAAGTACCCTCAGCTTGTGTGGTAAATCTTTGGCCTTTAACTCAGTGTTTCAAGTCTGTGCACAAGAAAACTGAATCAAGTGTGATCAAAAAGTCAAAAGCAATCATCCCATTATTTTAAAAAAATAAAAACGATATCCAACCAAACACCTTAAAAAAAATCAAAAGGTGCTCAAAATAGCATCTGACCAGAACTTTTTGATCACACCTCTTACAGATGACACATTCTACTGTGATGCCATAACACAACACCTTTATAGAACAAGCCTAATGAATATGTTTGTCCAAACGTTGGTGAGAACTTATTAAAAAATGCATAAAAGCCAATGTTCCACTTGTATACAATCCTGTTTAACAAACATATATTAGGATTGGGTTTAATGGAAGCCTGTCCAGCAGAGAGTCTCTCTGTGCGTTCCCTGGGTGCCCATTCCTGAGCCTGGTTTTGCCTGGGGATTCTTCCTGGTAAAAAGGAGTTTTTCCTTCCCACTGTCACCAAGTGCTTGCTCATAGGAAAAAAAGAGAAATATATATAAATAATAATAATAATACCAAAAACAGGAGTACACTAGAAATAATCGTCAGTGTTTACTGGATTTAAAAAAAGCAGAGACATTAAAGTTTTACTCTTTTATTCTCTGTGATGTCATCATCCAAAACTGAATCCTTGCTTTGGATTTTAATCACAACTTCTAAAAGTGCACAAATAAACTTGGGAAAACCAAAAACATGCATCCTTCATGTGGGGTTTATTCAATTTTAAAAGTGCCCCAGCTTCCCATAGAGTTTGACTAATCATGGTGGCTGCAAGGACAAGATTTGGGCGTAGTGTCACAAATATGTTGGTGCGTATGTGCTTTCTGTCCACATGGAAGAAATATTCTTGTGGTATCACATGTCTAATTCTTCTTAAGGTAAAATCTCAAACGCCTAATAAAAGCTAGATGTTGTGAGAAGCAGAGTTTTGTTATCAACATCACAACCAAATTAAAGTGTTTCCCTAGCACAGCTGCATGAAACTGGATCAGGCGGATCCCCTGCCCGAGACCTTCACCTGTCCACCGAGCTAAACTGCCATTAAGATAAAGAGCCCTGGGAGGAAAAAAGCCAATCCATCATCCTTTCTTTAAGGATCTCAGCGGAATGCTTTCTCCGGCAGCAGCGGAGCAAACCCATTTATTCCATAAGATATTCATCAGAAGCTGCTCAGCTGAGCGGGATAACAACTATTTAAGAGGGGCTGTGCACAGGTCTCACCTCAAGGGTCTGCATCAGCGTGGGCTTGATAGCATCTTTCATTAACACCGCCAGAGCTCCACTCACACCCTGACGGAGAGAAAGAGAGAAAAATAAGGGTGCTGGCTGGAAAACAAAGCAGGTTATCAAAATTCAGACAAAACTTTGAGCTCGCTAATACAAACAACTGATAATGTAAAGTATAGTCAAACAGCTGTCCACTTTAGATGATAAATGTTTTTACAGTCCATTTGCAAGTTTCCGTCCTGCATGCAAGTAAATCTTGCTTTGCACAAAATGCTCCATCAGCAACGTGGACACATTTTCACACACACACACACACACACACACACACACACACGGACAGCATATTTCCACTGGGCAGGCATTGATGTGTGGTTGTGTTTTCACATCCTGGCATATCAGAAATGCTAATACAACTTTATGGAGGTTCCTCCTCTACAGCTCTGAAACATCACAGTCATGTGTGGGAAACCAGAGCCTGAAGAATCTACAATGGGGCGCTAAAACTTAAAGTTTTCCTGTGCTCAGGATCATTGACATGTCGCAAGACCCAGCTTTGACCAAGCTTTAACTGTTGGATAAATGGCCTCACATTTGACTCTAGAATACTTTGGTATACAGAAGAGTTCACAGTTGACTCAGTAACTGCAAGTCCGGTGCCCAAATCCTCCCTCTATTACCGTGCTTGCCCGTTGGTATGAGGTGTTTGTGCTGATATGCTGTGTTGGTTTGGTTGGTCAATCATCCAAGTAAGGAAATCTCAGAAAGTTGATTCTGAGAATACAGCCTTTTTCTTGGCAAAAATTCCAGAAGAGCCACGCCTGTTCAGTCCTTTTTTGTAACTAATTTCATGACCTTTAACATTTAACATGTTAACCGAGGCCTGTGAAGTCTGAGATTAACACTCGGGTTTTCTGCTTGTGTTCTCTGACCATTACAAGGTCGGACTTCAGGGTGAATTAGCTGGGACATTCACTCCTGGGAAGATTGGAATATTGTGCTAACTCACAGCTGAATGCTCCAGAGTAAAAAAAAACTTCCACTTTCTACACTGCAAGTGTTTTTCTTCCACTATAAACAGTTAATTTCTCAAATTGAGATTTGAAGATGTTTCGTATCACTTAAACAAATCGAAGATAGCTTGATAAGGACTAAAACCACTATCTTTCTATAACTCTTCTTTACAGTCTTAAGCACAAAAACAACTTTTTTCAGAACAAATTAAAAAAATCCATATTTTTGGTCTAAAATTCTTTGAGTTAGACAGCAATAATACTTCCACACTTACAAATGAGATTACAACACAAAATACATACGAGGTCCTCTGCTGTGATAGGCTGTCCAGAGCGGCTGGTCCCCACCACCATGCGTGCCAGTCTGTTCTTCATGTCCCCGAGGCTGTCAGCCAAGGCCAGGATGGCCATGATCTCACTGGCCACTGCAATGTCAAACCCAGTCTGGAGTGTGAGAAAAGAAAAATCACTTGCGACATAAACCAGGACTGTAGTTTCAGCAGTTCTTTTATACACTTGCTAGCGGAGAGCTGAAAACAAATGTTTTACCTGCAGTAAAGTTTAATGGATGAGTTTGTTTGGAGCTAGAATGCAAAATAGTAAGCTTAAGCCTTTACAATCTAATTTATCTTTCCCGGACTCAAGAATAAAAGCTTTAAGTGAATAAAATGTTTTGCACAGGGTGGGAAGAAAACTGGCAACTTTCTTCAAAACAGCAGTCACCGGGTTTATCACATGAGAAAGAGAATAAAGTCCTATGAACAAGGCCTAGTTTCGGATCGGATAATTTGATGAAGAAAACCTAAAAAACCTATAAACATGTTTAACTTGTTTTGATACGAGTTTCTGTCATGATTTATGTTTAACAAAAAAAGGATGGAGAGAACAAGAAAACACGAGTAAGTAAGGTTAGAAAAGAAAAAAAAAAAAGCATAAAACCCACAATAATCCCTCAAGGAATATAAGAATTCTATTACCCCTCCCACTGATAATAACCCGAGGGGCTATAGTATAACCAGCACTGGAGAAAGTGCAGGGCAGAGGAGAGGAAGGGGAACAGAATGGATTTACCAATGATCATAAATATAACCATATGGTGAACTAGCTTAGAGGCTATTCTAGGTGTGTACGTGTGTGAGCGTGGATGGATGGGTGGGTCATTTTTCTCATTCTCTAAACATTTGCTTTCACTTAGGCCTGCTAGCTTCCCACTGACGTGAAATGTTTATTTCGAGAATTTCATTTAGCTGCCATTACTACAAATGTATGGTGGTGGTGGAGGGAGCTGATTACATCTGGGCTGTATCATGAACAGAGGAGCATGTGCAGAGGGGAGTGTATCAGAGTGGACATGCATGAGAAAGATTTTAGTCATGGTTTTGCTAAATTAAAAAGCAAAAAATAAAACAGAGATATCCGAGGCCAGGCCATGTTAATAGTAATATGACGCCCCACCAGCTACGTCTTTACAATGTAAATAAACTGCTGCACCATTGTTCTTCATTATAAAATAAGTTCATGTGAAGTTTTCTGTTTGAATGAACAAATTACACAAATCCAGGGTGGTAGTTGAAAAGTATGCAACATGGTTTGTTTGTTATTTTAAAGAATCCTAATCTTCACAGCCTGAGTGATTCATACCACAGTTATTATACTTTAGTATATTCAACATATTTTACATTGTTACTCTTGTTTTAATTTGGTCTCCTTTTGTTTTGAGAGCGGATTTGCTCAGCTCAGTTTAATTTTAGTAGAGCTTTTATTTGTTAGTCTATTTTAGTATTATTGTATGGAGGGAATAAGCTGGAGGTAAGGAAAACAGTATAGGCATTACAGTAAAAACCCTTGAAAAAAGTTGGCTCACATTCTTGTAGACGTCAAAAGTCTTAATAAACACGTCCATTACAGCCTCGTCAGGCAGGTTGTGTTAATACACTGTACCAATTTACCAAAGACTAAAGCTAAGCCTCTTTAATTTTCCAACTTCCCAAAATGGTTTGTTAGGTAAATGGAATGCTTTTCCACTTTTATTCCACTATAATGCCATACCTCTCTGATCTGTCCTTTCTCAGAGCTTGCCTGTCCGACGGTGATCTTCCTCAAAAAACGGTCATTTGTATCAACGACTGGAAAAAAAAACAAAAAAATAATAATTTTTTTGGGCAAACCTTGTTATATAATCTATAACTCTGACCATGAAACATTCACCTTTTAACATGATGCAGTTGCCTTATGTGAAACAATATGCCACAGAAAAACATTACATTTCTGATTAATTTCATGTTAGATTAGATTAAAAAGCACTTTTCTTTAAAGAAAACAAAAAAAACCCCAACAGGGCTACGTGACTGTAAGAGCCCATAAACTGTGATTAATTGATCTGATACCTGAGCCACAAGGAAAATGTATGTTTTTACAGCGTTAGCCTGACACACTGTAAAAATTCATCTCTACACGTTTATAAATACTACCCCATAACGTGTGTTTATCTTAAAATGGATTAGCTAATGAAGGCTTCCTCACTCAGCACTTAAGACTACTTTCTGATAATGCGGTTATAAATTCACTGCGCTCAGCCAGGAAATCATTTTAGGAGACATTATTCCTGTGTTGGTTTTGTAGAATGAAAGAACCTTCCCTTTCATGAAAAAAGGAAAGTGTGTCCATTAAAAAAAACAAGTTTAGGAAAAAAAGTTAAGCCAGAATAAGTCCCGTGAACACATGAAACAAAGTCACACTGGGTGCTAAACCTGTTTTTAATCTCCAGAGTTTGTTTATGATGAGTGACCCCGAAGCCGACAGAGTAAAATACCACATCGGTCAAAGCAGCACCTGGCCGGCTGTCTCACAGGCAACTTTAAACGAACCCAGCTATCACTGCTGTAGCTAATTCCACATCTGCCGTACCCACGTTTATAATCTTGTGACTGATGGTCTGACACTTTACATTAATTTAATATGAAGCCATTTTTGTATTCATTATGTAAGAAAGGAAATTACCTTCTATTTCAAGACTGCATGTGACATTCCTCAGGAACGGCCCAATAAGACACTTACATTGCAGAGCATGAGATGTTTGTCAGACATTTTTTATGATAATTAGATTTGTGTGATAGTCATGATATTGTTTTTTGACTGCGAGTACATCCGAGTGGAGACAATCAGACTGGTGTTCTGAAGCAGCCCCTTTGCACTAGTTTGAAATATAAGGCATCTCTGCTGCGGTGTTGTTCACATTTGGCCAGATTAAGATTGCGTGCTTTACACCGCCGCTGCTATAAAAACCACTTGACTTCATAAGCAGTTGGAGATCGGTGTAGGGTGTAGTAACATGTTACTGTAATTACGTTTTTCTCTGCAACAACACTATCGGAGATTCAGTAATCGCAAAATTGCTGCTTAGCAAAGAATTATGTTACTTATGTCATTACCTGTTTTACATACACTTAGCACTTTTAATAATAATAATAATAATAATAATAATGGATTGCATTCATATAGCGCTTTTCGAGACACTCAAAGCGTTTTACAATTCCACTATTCATTCACTCTCACATTCACACACTGGTGGAGGCAAGCTACAGTTGTAGCCACAGCTGCCCTGGGGCAGACTGACAGAAGCGAGGCTGCCATATCGCGCCATCGGCCCCTCTAGCCAACACCAGTAGCCGGTAGGCGAAGTGTCTTGCCCAAGGACACAACGACCAAGACAGACAGAGCAGGGGATCAAACCGGTAACCTTCCGGTTACAAGATGAGCTTCGCAACCCCCTGAACCAGTGGCCCATTTCTGTTATAAATGTAAAAATAAATAAATGAATCAATCAAATTTGCCTTTTTTTCCTGCACATTTATCCTACAGTCAGCTATTTTCAGTTTATTAGCAGGGACAGGCCAGAAACAACTGATGCTAACATGACAACTTGTACCAAGATAACAACTGCACTGATGAGCATTTGGACTTAGGACAGTAGCATCACTGTGAAGTGCTCCTCATTAGCACAGTGATATGTGGTGTGGGACCGCATGCTGGTAATTATGCATCTTAGGCCACCAATTGACCTAACATACATGTCTTTCTCAACATGCAAGCATCACACAGAAAAGCCCCAGCTGAAGATTTGAACCAGTGCTAACTCAATTACTCCATTATACATTTAAGCGTAATTGGTCAGTGTTAAGATGTTTCCCATTATATGTGAGAACACAAAGATCCAGCTTAGTTAGAGAGAGACATTAAACGTTTCCGTTTTAGTCTAACTGATTAAACTGTGCTCATGTGAAAAAAAAGCTGCTGGTAATTGTCTGGTGCATACGCAGCTCTACACAGGCGGTATCTTCGCCTAAAATTCTTGCCTAAGGAGTATTTCTCCTGCTGGGTGCTGCATTTGAGTTGGACGACATCTCTGTTTGAGTCTCCCGACACATAGTTAGTGAGAAAACAGCTTGAATCAGCCATGATTGTGATACAGTTACAACCCCCGCTTAAAAAAAAGCACACACAGAGAATCTGTCTGTTTATAAAGATACCTCTCTGCCAGGTGATTTTTGAGGGGTCAAGATCAAGACGTACGAACGCGTTGATTTCTTCAGGCGTGAGTGATGCAGGATCTGTTTTCCTGATGCCAAGGCGCTGGAAATTGAGACAGACAACAAGATTTTGTTCCACATGTTTCTGATACTGTTTAGATTTTATTTAACATGAAAGAAGCCTGTTATGTCCACCATAATAGGTGGGAGGTATCATTCATGTATAGGAAACAAATCCAGACTAAATAACCAGGAAATTATTAACTCACTGTCATGATCAGAAGGTTTAGTTGGAGTTTTCTGCTTAAAAAAAAGCCTTTTAAAAATCTTTATCTCTCCCTTCATCAATTAAGGCTGATTTTATAGTCTTTTTCTCTAATCCTGGACTTTCCTGCAACAGGACATAAACATGTTCAAACCTTCATCTCCTGGATCAGTAACATCTGCCATGCATATTTTATCTGTTAGGACTAAATATTAGACATTCTTCATCAGCACTACATGAAGACTGAATTACTCTTTCTTCTACAAACAAGGAGTTTTATCTGGCATAAAGAAATGTTTGGTAAAGCAGCCAATGTGAAGGGTAAGAGTGAAAATTTAAGCTGGATCCACAGAGGCCCCCTAGTGGACAAAAAACAACAAACAACAACAACAACAACTTTTCATGAACACCCCAGACACAATCCTTAGTTAGTTAGTTCACGTGTGATCATGGACATCATGTGTGATTATGGAGCTGTAGTATTTAAACTTACTTGCAGCCTGGAGATCTGGATGGGTGAGAATTTTCTGACTCCATTCACAGAAGGGACTAATCTATTGAAAAGGGCCTTGGTGGTAAAGAAAACAAAAAAACCAATACTATTATTTAAAGTACATTTAACCGGTCCTTACAGGAGGAAAGGACTTTTGTTAAGCTGGAATTTAGATAACAAGATAGCATTATGTGCATGAAAAGCAGGATTACAGAAATAAATCAAATACATGAAAAGTTACCACAGAATAATTTACAGTCACCGACTAAAATAAATCTACAGCAAATCGCAAACATGACTGAGAGCAAAAGGAATCCATACTGTCATTATATTACACACGCATTTTTTTAAACTAGAGTTGCTACATGCTATCTTTTCGCACAGTCACCTTGTCTGACTGCGTCGCTTCGTGGAGCATCCTGGCATCGATGGCTGCTGCCACCAGGTTATTGGCAGCTGTGATGGCATGAATGTCACCAGTCAAATGAAGGTTGAACTGAGAAGATTTTAAAAAATAGCAGAAAAAAAAAAACTCAGTGAGAGATGAAAGGATTACAGGCGAGACGTCAACATGCTACTGCAGAAGTGTACACTCTGTAAGATTGATTGAATAGCCCCTAGGGAGAAAAAAAACCTCTAACAATGGGGGTCAGTGGGCTGCACCCACAGCATTTGGTAGCAGATGATAAATGTGGGTTCAACTAAAGCAATCTTCTCATGGCTTGGATTTTGTCCCTTGAGTCTTTAAATATATTATGACACATTTTCTCACAGTTTGACACAAGCCCTTTGATCTCAAGACATACAAATATATATATTTTTAGTGCGCCTAAAAGAAGGAGGCGTAAAGAAAAAGGGTGAATTGAGAGAATGAGAAAAGTAGTTGGCCTTATTGTAGCCTACAAGGCTGGGGCTTAACCCCTCGTTCTGTGTGTCTTTATGTCTGTGCTTGTAGTCACAGCTCCGGGGTCATGAATGTATGCTTGTGTGTCTTTTTGTACAAACTACTGTGAGTCTTTGCATGCCTCAGGTCTTTGAAGCCTGCGTTTGTCCTGCTAGGGAACACTCTGAGCCTGTCTGTGTGTCTTACCTCCTCCATAGGGATGACCTGGGCATACCCACCTCCTGCAGCTCCCCCTAGGCAAAGGAGGAGAGGAAACACTGTGAGAGGCAGGCAACAGGACGAGGACATACAAAGAAACAGTGCTGAGTGTTGGACTTTGAATGAACTGCTCCACCCGAGAACAAAATGTAGAGCTGACCCCACACTGACAAAGATAGCTAAACTTGTCCAAATGTCACTGAATGTATTCAGTAGAAATATTCACAATTTGAAACATTAAACATTGGTTCCAATGTGAAAATACACTATTCTATCTATCAACGTTTTCTTACAAAACAGGATTTTAGAGAAAACACTCATTGTTTTTGGAGAAAATAGTTTGGAATGACCAACAGTAAAGTAAAATAAAAAGTATCCAGATGAAGGAATGCAAAGGAGCACAGAGAGATGATAGCGTATCTTTCAGAGAGGATAAGCCAAGTGCAGTTAGCATAAAGACCCAGGTATTCCTTGCTGACCTTTAACTCCAAAAGTTGGTCCCTGGGATGGTTGACGGAGACAGGCAAAAGAGTTGAGCTTAAGGTGGGCAGACAACGCCTGGACCAGACCGACAGTCACTGTGCTTTTACCTTCGCCCAGTGGGGTGGGAGTTATACTGAACAAAGAGAGAATACAGAAGATTTTCAAATATCACTTTTTCTTTTTCTGGTGTGCACAATATGACCCTGTACTGTGGAGTCCCTCAGGGTTCTATACTAGGACCTATGTATTTTCTTTGTAATGGTAATTTTGTACTATTCAAATAAACTTTATTATTATTATGAAGCAGGAGAAAGAATAAGAGAGGATTTGGTCAGTCACTCACCCGGCAACCAGAATATATTTGCCATTAGGCTGTGACTGGAGGCGTTCCAACACAGAGAGTCGAACCTTAGCTTTGCTCCTACCATAGGCTTCTAGCTCTTCTGGTAGCAAACCAATCTCTTCAGCCAGCTGATCTACTGGTTTTGGTATCTGAGCTCTGGATATCTCTAAATCACTGACAGAGAAAACATATAGACTATATGGATGATGGCTGTAAGCATCACAATAGCAACATCAAATAGCATTAAAATGAGGTATACAAGAATCTGGGTAAGATGAATGAAGTTAAATTCCAGTGTTCACCACACAGTGGTCTATACCTTGGTACAGGAGTTAAGGGCTGCAGTTTCAGGCTGCGCAGATGCCAGGGTCGGTATTCCTGACCCTTGAGCCACCGACTGCAACTCCGGACAACATTCTAATGGACAAAAAAGAAAAGAAAAGAGAAGGACAGAGAAAGCTAACAAATAAGTAAGGAAGAATATAGTAAGCCAAAGAGAGGAGTTACATAGGAATATATATACCTGTGTTCTATAAGCTGCTGTGAGGCTTTCTAATCCAGATTTTGAAGACAATCCAAAAGCATTTTCATCTAAAACAAACAACAACAGGATTAATGCACACAATAATACACAAATCCATACAACAACAAAAAAGCATGTGATAGTGGAAGCAAACCAGTGCATCTGAAACTGCAATTTCCCTGATTTCTATTTATTTTTAAAAGATAACTTAAAAAGTGTCTCTGCAATGGAGGGCTTTAAAATCATTTCATGTTCATTATAGCACAAGTTGATTGGAAACACAACATATAATGCAATACCTTTCTCCGGAGCTGGCTTACAGTAAATGATAGCAGCCCCTGGTCTAATCCAGGTGGGTGGAACATACATATTTCCAACATCTAGCAGGACCACAGCATCAGCCTGCATAACCTGGGAAAAAGGAGAATTATTAAAGAAGAAGAAATAATTAAAATAATGAAATATTAATGACCTAAAAGAACCTCTGCAGAAAAATGTCTTTGAACATCTTCCCATGAGCAAAACTGCTCCAGTGAGCTGTTGTAAAATGAGAATACTGTCTCCGTGTGGCCAGCAACTAACACTGCACAAGCCCGACGTGAGATTTAAACCCATGTGTGTATACAAACTTCAAACCACAATTGTACATACTGAATGTTTACTTAAACTGGTACTTAAATTGGACACCCTCACCCGCAGTGGGCCTTAGTCTACAACTCTTCTCTCTCAAGCGCTCCCTCTCTATTTTGGAGAACAAAATTTTAGGCATTTTAAGGATTAATTGGAACAACTTCTGGTTAACTCCTGGTTCAGGAGCTGGCACTCCTTATACATTAATTCATTACTTAGGACAGTGATTTTGACATAGGTAGCTTCTAAGGCACAATACAGATCATCTAATGTGAGTACACCCTGTCACACCTGTGCCTGCAGGGTTTTGGAGCTCCAGTGACTCTTCAGAGTGACCATTCCACTTCGTTCAATCAGGCACTGCACGGCCAGCTGAAGGGGTCCCTCACCACCAACCAGCAACACAGTTTTTCCTTCCAAAGGAGCATCTGTAGGGATGTTTAAAATGATCATTAGCGAGTGGAAATGCCCCCAGCTGCAGAGTCTGTCCATGGACTCCCTGTCAGGCTTCCCATTTAAATATATCTGAAGCCAAACTATTAAATAAAGGCAAAATATAAAAAATAACAATCTAAAAAATCTTAAACCAGATTTTTTTTTTTAAATGTACCCTTAGTTTATAACATTCTACACAGAAATGTTCAACGTTTTTATTAAAGAGCTTGGAAATCTTTAGTAGTTGTATCAGAAGTACTGAAAATATCTAAACCTGAAGTGTGACTTCAACCAAAATAATCTATAAGTCTGTATCTCATACGCACAGACCCCCTGTTTAGTAAATTACCAGCATTTTAAATTAAAAAGAAACATCCCAGAAATATGGTCAAATCTTACCAAATTCGATGTCTTTCCTTCACCTTTTTATAATATATTCATTTGGACTCAAGTACATTACGTGTTCACATATTTGTTGATATTTTTCTTGCTCATGTTTTCATTGTATTTTTTTTAAATAATAAATTGGAAGATATTTTCTAAAGTCACAGTTGTCTTTACAATAACCACAGCAATGGTATCTTTTCCTGTTAGGTATCAGATCTCAGTAGTTAACAGTAAAGGATACTGATGTATTTTACAGTAAATTTAAAAAAGAGAAACATCTGTCACATTTATCAGTGTATCTAATTCAATTTCTAGTGTTTATATATCGTCCAATCAGAGCACAGTGAGAATCACTTTGAGACCTCTCTGCATTCAATCATACTTGTTATAAATCTGTCTCTCTTCCACAGCATGTTTTTTTATCCTGTCTTCCTTCTCTAACCCCAACCGGTCGCAGCAGATGGCCGCTCCTCCCTGAGCTTTGTTCTACTGGAGGTTCCTTCCTGTTAAAAGGGAGTTTTTCCTTTCCACTGTCACCAAGGTGCTTGCTCATAAAGGGTCATATGATTATTAGGTTTTTCTCTGTATGTAATATTGTAGGGTCTACCTTACAATGTAAATATGTCTATGAAGGTTCTCAGTCATCCAGGTCATCGTAGTCTAAGGAGCATGGAAAGAAAAGCGTCTGGACTTCTTTAAGTTTCCTTGACGTTTCACCTCTCATCTGAGAAGCTTCTTTACTTCAGAACTAAAGAAACTTCTGGAATAAGAGGTGAAACGTCTTCAAAGAAACTTAAAGAAGTCCAGACACTTTTCTTACAATATAAAGTGCCTTGAGGCGACTGTTGTTGTGATTTGGCGCTGTATAAATAAAATTCAATTGAACTTAACAGAAATGTGAAAATATTTCAAGCACACTGGCTGCATTTAATTTCTTTTTCAAACTGACGCTTTTGGGTCAACTGTTTATATAAACTGTAATTTAATACAGTCGATTGGTTACACACACCAATGTAAATGCACTTAATCAGAACACTGTGACTTTCTCAAAAGTGATGATTTTTCTCACTGGCTAAAAATATGCACCTACTCTATTTCTGGCACAAGGTGCATAAACCTGCACAATGCAGTTAAGGATGGCAGAAAGTCAAGCATATAATTGGTTTCTAAAGCATCAACTCAGTTATAAAATTAAAATCTCACAGGAGACTTAACGTCTCACTTCTGACATGTTTCCTGTGTGCTGTGTAAACACTGTGTAAAGAGAGGAAAACCTTCAGTTTCCTTCAGCAGAAACTCACCATGGTTCTCCAGCAGATCCAAAACAGCACTGGCTAAAGGAGGCACAAAGCCTTTGCTCAGGTCTCCTCGTATCAGACGGCCCATATTCAAGTCTGATATGCTACAACAAGAGAAAAACATATAGAAATTAATTTTTTTTATTTAACCGTCCAGTTTTACAGGCCATAACAGATTAATAAAGTGCAATGGATAACACAATCACACATAATAAATGTAAAAGACACAGCACAGTACTAGCGAGTAACATATGCGGATATATAGTTTTCATCAGGATTAGGTTAAAAAAGTTTTCCATTAATCATCAGGAACATATATACTTTTCCTCTGGATAATCTATCCTTAACTGAACCAGATCTGATCAATTTATCGTGATTAAGAAGGGTCCCCTGCTAATTTTCTCACCACGTGTCTACACACACTGGGCACAAACGTCTTAATTGTGAGCAGTCCTTTCGGATTTGGGTCAACAGGAAACGCACCGTGAGTTAATTCATTTATTTTTAATTGGAATAACAACCTTACATGCATTTTTACATTTATAGAACTTCTAAAATAAATGACTGAATATTTATGCCCCTGCAGGTTTTTACCCTTCGATGTCCTTCTCGGGTTTTAAGGTGTTGAGGACCCGACTGGTGATTGAAGCTGGGGGGAGGTGAAGGTAGATACCATGCACTTTGGGGTCATCATTCAACTTCAGCAACTCCTCTACAATCTACATGCATACATAAAGAGAACAAATAACAATCAATGACACACATCTGAGAAATGTAGTGAGAAAATAGCAGACGAAACAAGTGTGAAAATATTGAAGATATACCAAATACAATCGGGTACTTTATGTGGTAGTCTACAAAAAAGTCAAGAGAGAAACAAACAGCACATGCACCTTCAAAATCAAACAATCAGCACTACCTAATGAGCACAGGCAAAGTGGTAGTGGAAATCCCTGAGGAGGTGAAAAACAGGAGAAAGGGGGACGAGATAATGTGTAAAAGTAGAGCAGCTGAGTTCTCCTAAGACCAGGCATGGCAACATAGATCATCCACTGTCAGGTCAAATGTCTAAGCTATTCCCATGAATTCCTTCTGTCTACATGGTTCAAGTGGCAGGCTCCAGCTGAATGAAGAGCCAAGAAGGTTCCCCCAAATCTCAGTTACATAATGCTGGAAAATATCACTAAGTAGGATAAAACCTGATTCAGTCACTTAGATGATAAATGAAGAATAAACTGGAAATACTGAAGACCTGAACACACAGGCACCAAAATCACATGCTGCACAAACATGAAAATGGTAATCATGTAGTGACTTGCTAAACTTTGAGGGGGGAGGAAGAGTTCTCTATTAAGGGGAAAATTAACTTGTGAGTCACATCGACTTACATCATCTTCACTGCACTCCTTTGCCAGACAAATCTGAGTGATGTTCAAACCAATCTGCGGACGAGGAGAGAGGAGATCTTTTGTAGACATTACAAAAGAACAAAATGGCCAAGCTGAAGAAGAGAAGTTAGAAAAAGGAGAAGTGGTGACGTGGATTACCTTTCCTGCCATTTTCTTATTGATCTCCAGCATGCTATTGTCTTCACCTGCCTTTGAGATAAAATGAGCACACTGAAACAACGCACAGAACCCTGATAATATAGAAAAGCTAAGATGAAACTTCAGTAAAAACAGATACCCTCAAGGTCAGGAGAAAATTAAAGCAAATCAGAAGACTTCTAGCATCAAATGTTTAGGCTACGCTTTTTCTAAGCATTAACAACACTTAAAGACTGCTTATTACAAAATAAGACTGTGTATTTGCACTCATTTTTTTTGTTCTATAACAGTATTCATGTTTTCCCTTACAGTACCTGTAGAATGGCTAACAAGGGTTGAATTGCTGGGTTTCTTTTCTGCAGAGTCACAATTGCTTCCCTGGTGCTCTGAACCACTTTCCTACAAGAGAAGACAACCTGGTTAGAAATACCCATTAACCTATTAATGGGTACACGCAGGATAAAACACCCCCATCAGGAAAGTGGATAATACATAATTAAGTTCAAATATGTTCATTTATATAGCACCAATTCACAACAAAACCACCTTAAGGTGCTGAATGCTGCAAGGTAAAGAAGCAGCATAACTATGGGGCGTTTATAACTACAGTGGCTTTGAGAATTCAGTGCAATGCAACAAGAAATCAGATCAAATGCGAGGAGGCAATGTCTGCAGCACGTGCAGCAAACTATGGAGCTGATGAGAAGGTGGGAAGCAGTCAGGTGCTGTGTTGACTTTAATTCACAGACTAGCTTGTGAAATATGTGAGATAAGTATTGCTTAGGACCTATCAAGCCATCATTTTTTGTCTATTTGCAGGAATTTTCCTAATGAATGATGCATCAGGCTCTGTGGAGTAGAGATGGGCGGAGTGATCCAAATATCAACAGTATCGAAACCAGAGCTTATATTGGTATTGGGTCAACACCAATAAATTGGTGACCACTGCTCTCCCCATGAGATGCCTTTAAAAGTTAAATGTATCTGTATCAGCATTGGTATATACAATATTGGCCCTACATTTACTTGGTATCGGATTGATACCAGAATTTGTGGTATGGAACAACCCATGGTCGTTTTCAGTGCGCATGCGGCAATATGCGGGCGGGTGGGGTAAAATGTTTACATATACCTTAACAAATACGTTAAAAGTCCAAAACTTTAAAGTTAAACTTTAACTGAATAAATCCATTTTTGCTAATTTTCTTCACACTCGATACAAGTGTTATAGATCTGCATGCATTTAAATGTTAGCAGCAAAACTAGTTTTTCATCCACGCCTGCGTGTTTTTACTCGGTTCCTCGTGTGTCGCATGTTTAGCAACAGCAGAAAAGGGTTGCATCAGCTGGCTGGTGTCTCTGACACCCTAACCCGGGGGCACGTGCAGAACTGGCTACTAGCCAGGGGCCAAAACGCTGGTGAGACCGGAAATGCTTACTACCTTTGTTACGTAGATAACCATCCCTCCAACGAACTTCGTTTTTTTTAGCTAACCGTTAAAATAATTTGTCATGACGCACCACAATCAGACTTTTACTCTACATTGTTGTTGGTGCTGTTGTTATTATTTTACCTCACATGGTTGTCGTAATCAGACTCATCCCCCTTCTGAGATTGTACCCCAAAGTTACCGGTTAACTTCGGGTTGGTGCCGGTGCTGGAGGTAGCGCTTGCCGCTCGGAGGCTCAATCGACTGCTGGTAATGCCTATCGGTAGGCATCTTCGCGAAAACCCGGTGAATCTGCTACCCGGACGGACCTGATGTGCCCGGAGACTCCTGTAAGCACTGCGAATAAGCGCCAACTTCATTGTAGTTTTATGTTTAAAAAAAATAAACAGGACTAAAAAGTGTTTCTTCTCCTTTCGTCTCTGGCGGCGGTGATTAGCCCGGTTCCTTGAAAGGAACAAAAAGAAAGTTGAGGTTGCAACAGGGTGCTGATGGAGGTGCGCTGTCTTCACGAGCAGTCGGAAAGATGAAAAACTAGCGGTCGGTATGCTTTGTTTCCCCCCTATTCCCCCATCCTCCCACCCACAAATGGGCAATTCCCATAGAAAGAAGGGTCTTTTAAGACAACACACTGCGTTTAGGAGTCACATATGGATGTCTTGTTGTTAGTGTGTATATGCCTCCGCAATATTTTGATTATCTAATAACGTGTGAAAACGCATTTGTTTCCTTCCTCCAAAGTCACTGATAATGTGAAAGACTGTTTGAATAAGACAATAAATGCTACATTTCTTGCAAGTCTAGATGCTGTTATTAAACCAGCATTTTAAAGTCATATGTTTTCGTTTGAAAATCCGGGGTACACTTGAAAGCAGCAGCCTAACAAGAAGCAAATGCTCGCGACCACGCGAGTTCACGTGCTGAAGACCCTGAGAGGTCAGCGGGTTCAAAATACACCTCAGTCGGTAAGTTAATCATCCAACCCAATGCAATAATGTAAGTGAGTAAAACTATATTTAGTCTCAGGCTCATTAAGAATCAACGTTTCACTCACTCAAACATACCTATTCACAGGAGGCCAAACAATCAGTATTAATAATCATTGCCTCAATTCATATGTCGTATTAGAATACTTTAAAACCAGGTTCCTTATCACCAAACACTTGTCAATATACTCCTAAACCAGAGCTGGCACTCTTCATTTAACAGCATGTGATAAATCAGGCTTCTATACACAGCGTGGGTTGCTGGCCTAAGTTGAACTAGTAAGTTTAGCTACATTCCTGTTCCCTATGATTGAAGCCTAAACCCTGATTTTTATCTTGAAGTCATGTACTAATCGTGCAAATTTGATGTGTATCAGAAAGACTGCAAGTAAGGGATTTGGCAGAATATTAAAGAAAACTAATGTATCTATATATATATAAAGAGAATAAAAATGCGTCTAATCTAATAGAAATTCCAGTGAGACCGGGTTTGCCCTTGTGGTGCAATGATAGTTCAAAGGATGGCGATAAATATACTATAGATAAGAAACAGTTAATATGTATTTTACAGCAGGAATGTTCATCCAAGTTTAAAGTTCTTATCTATGCTCGTACACCCCTTCCTACATCAACTATCCAGATAAGAAAACATAGTTTGTCTATGTGTGATCAACAAGCACCTAAGCTGTGCTTAGTTGTGGT